TCGCTTGAGCCCAGGAGTTTGAGGTTGCTGTGAGCTAGGCTAACGCCACAGCACTCACTCTAGCCCGGGCAACAGAGTGAGACTCTGTCTCAAAAAAAAAAAAGAACACATGCTTCAAAGCAGGTGTGCAAAAGAGAATAAAGGATAGTATGTTGAGAAACATTTTTGAAGCCTCATGGAAATAAATGCAAAGAGTTACTAGATTATTCTCGAATACAGTCATCAAAAAGGGAACAAATATGCTAAGAAACCCCTGTAAGCCCAAAATAACCCCTTTAAATGCAAGGTCCCACTGAAGCCTTTTAACCCAGGGCTTGGAAATTGAACACGGGATCCAGACTCGCATCCTCCATGGGTGATCGAGCACCACTGTGACTCTGGGGACATGAAGAAAGAGCCCAAGGTCAGCACTTTGGGAATGTCAATCAAATAGGCTCCATAAAGATGAAGGGAGAAAATTATAGCCATAATACAAAGGAGATTATCAATTTGAACAATAATAGTAACAACATCCTATAATGTAGGTGTGGTTTTAATCTCCGTTTTCCAGATGGAAAACAAAATCTCAGAGAGGTTGAAAAATCTTGCCCAAGGTCATTCAGCTACTAAGCCGGGATTCAAGCTTGGGTCTGCTGCCTCTCGTTTCTTCTATTCCCCACAGCAAGAGATGTACAGAGCAGCCCCTGAAATCCAGACGTTTTAGAGGACAAGTTAAGAGGATATCAGGAAAATCTCAGACTCTGATGCTATCCAAGCTGGGCCTGGAGAAATGATTCAAACTCATGGAGATGGGGAGTAAAAGTTACTCCAGGCACAGGAAAGAACATAAACCAATGACTTAGGAAATGCTCAGACATTGTAAAAAGAGAATTATCACTTCAGGAGACTAGAAACCAGCTCTAAGGGGAGAACGCCATTGCATTGTCAGTTAATGGACAAGACAAGCATCTCAAATGGTCTTCCCCTCTTCCAACAGTGGGGTTCTAGGGCAGGGATTACCAGATACACTTTGGAAAGAGTCTCTAATGCCTTTTAAGGGACAATCAAGGGTGTTTTAAAGCTGTCCAAAGAAAATGAATTATAACTGAAAATCTCTAGCCCTGGAGAAGAAAGGATGATTGGGGAACGATTGGGAAACCCATTTGCAAAGCATGGATGAACACTCACCATGGGGCCAGGGCTGGGATAAGAACTTACTTCTCCCTCACCGATGGGTGCCCATTTCACCTTGTTATGGGCCTTGACAACAGGCTATTCCCCTCAGAATCCTGAGGGACAAAAGTCCTCCCCCCTTAGACCTTCACACCTAAGGCTGTAGTTAGGGGCATGGCCCAAAGGGAAGGTGAAGACAGGGTTTGCCGGCATCGCAATGTGGTGGAGAATTGATACTGCTGAGAGCAGCCAAGGTCGTCACTCTTGCTGCCCTGGGGTACCTCTAAGATCCCCCGGATCACCTGGGCGAGGCCCGAGTAGGGCCTTCATGATCTTCTCCTCCGGGGCCCACCATCAGGGGGAGCAGCAGCCCCACAGGCTGGCACTAACCTTGTTCCCATTGTTGTACATGGCCACCAGGCAGTAGATGTGGTAGATGTGGCCGCATCTGGACAGCTTTCCCACCAGGTCGGGCTTCACGGTCGGCTGTGGGCCCTTGTAGCCCGACGGGGCCGTGAGGCGCTCCATACAGATGGTGCAGTCCTGGGGGTGGGAGGAGACGGAGCACATGGGCCGTCAGCTCTCACCCCGCTGGGAGGCCAGGGCACCCCCATGGTGGTTCCCGCATGAGCTCCGGGGTTGGATGAGCTGTTACTGCTCCTCTTCTAGAAAGTCCGCAAATCAGGGAGTATGTGCTTTTGGGGATCTAAATATGGTTTTGTCTTGCTTTACAAAAGGAGAAATTCCTGAAATTATTCCTGCTAGTGGTACTTATTAACGTGGGCTCATCGAGGAAATTATAATCTCCTTAAGGGCTGGGACGAGGCACTGTCCTTCCTTTGTGTCCTCCAATGGCTTGTGGAGGAAACAGATGCTTGTTGACAGACATCGATAATCTTTACGTAAGGTGAACTTTTGTAAAGAAATTGCATTTCCAGCGTACCAGAGGAGCTGCTATTTAAATGAATCTAGGACAGAGTTTCTCAGCCTCAGAACTGTTGACACTCTGGGCAGGAAATTCTCTGCTGTGGGGGCTGTCTCGGGCATTGCAGGGTGTGTAGCGGTATCCCTGGTCTCTGCTCTACCCACTAGGTGCCAGTGACATCTCCCCCTCTCGAATCATGACAACCAAAAATGTCTCCAGACATGGCCAAATGTTCCCTAGGGAGCTAAATGGCCCCTGTTCGAGAACCTGGTCTGCATCAAACCCATTTTAAAGAGAGTTCTCACGGCTTATCATACTGTTTTTCTTATATTCAGGCTGTCACGTTAAGGTAGTTTATAATCAGTTCGCACTATGCTGAACAGGGAGGTGGGGGAGATTGAGGTGCTGCAGCAGCTCTGAACCGGGAACCCTGGAGCCAGGTGTCAGCTCTGACCAGCTCTGTACCACTCGGGGCTTGGAAAGCAGCTCCGGCCACATCCCGCAGAAAACACAGCAGAAGAAATGCTTGTGGGCGACAGAGAAGGTGAACCCCGCCCTGCTTCCCTGCACTCACCTCATCTGGTGGGTGCCGGACTTTCTGCAGATACTTCTTCAGCACTTCCTCTGGGGTTTTACCTGCAGGGACAGGAAGATCAGTGGGCCACCAAAGCAGAGGTAAGGCCTCACACAGCCTTGCCATGCTAGGCATGCCGGAGAGGAGGGTGACCAGCCAAGTTCAAAGCAGAAAAGGGGAGGAATTCCTTCTGCCATTGGTCTTAAGAATGAGAAAGAGAATGCCAGTTGTAGAAGAGCCAGTGAGGTGGTGTGGAGAGAGGGAGGTGTCACACCCGCCTTTCCCTCTTGCAGTCACTTCCCTGACATCCCTTTACTTATTTTCAACAAACCCACTTTTTAGGTGAGATGAGCAAAGTGGGTTTCTCTTCCTTACAGTCAAAGAGCCTGGACTTGTCCAAACGATAGGATGAGATAACAGATATGAAAGCACTTTGTAAACTGTTACACAGTAAATAAACATTAGGCAGTCTTACTGCATTCATTTTACAATTTGCTAAGTACGGTCTCAATTTATACTGTGGCATCAAAGTGAGATTATCTTTATGGGAAACCAGGAAGTGACGACCCACAACTTCAGGACGGTCTTCCCTGGCTCTGGGCGGTGCTGTCACTGGCAGCAGACACAGCCCCGCAGCAGGGGAAGGGTGATGCCCTGGGAGGCATCTGGTGGGCTGCCATGATTTAGGGATTTCTTCTGGACCAGACCCTTAAGAGGCAGCCCAAACTGAAGGCCCTGGAGGGGATGATACCGCCTTGCAAAGAGGCAAAGAAAGAAACAAAGATCAGTGCCAGCCCTTGGGTCGCCCTCTTAATTTCTCTAAGCTTCTGTTTTCTCACCTATAAAATGGAAAAGAACATAGCACCTACCCCAAAGGGTGGCTTGACAATTCGGTGAGCTAATGGACGTACAGTCCTTCAACACTTTGCCAGATAAAGGTTCAATATGTGCTGTTAGTAATAACAGGAAGAGTGAGAAAGTGTAAAATCCTGTGACTTCCTATCAGACTAGGAGCGAGGCAATTGAGTTCATTTAAGCAGGGAAATTTTGATAAACTGGAAAAGTAGGACAAGGGTTTGAGGAAGTAGATCATGCAACAGCCAAAAGCTGCAATGCAGGCCCTCCCCTCCCACTGCCCTGCTTCTTTTGTAGGACTTATGCTTCCTTTAATTAAGAGCTTATTTCTTGCCAGGACCTGGCCTAAGTGCAATACACACATATGATCTGATTTAAACTTCACAAGAAGCTTGCAAGATGGGGACAGTCACATCATTTAACAATCTAGACCAGAGACCAGAAAGGCTGAGCCAGGGTCCTGCACTGCCGGGTAAATCCAGGTATTGGCCCCTTAGGTGCTGGGTTGTGGGCAGGTAGGAAGGGGTTCCTGAAGGAGGGTTCAAGCTGCCGGAGTATCTGGAGGCTCTAGAGGGACGTGAGACAGTGGCTACTTCCCAACTGTCATGGACACATTCCAGGACGTCCCTCCCAGATACCGCTTATCAGTGTTTTTTACCCCATCAGAAAGATGAGTAAACAGAGGCCCCACGACTTGTAAATGACAAAATTACGATGTGAATCCAGTCTGTTTTGGTTCCAATGCCACAGTGATCTTTCTTTTCTAACATATTTCCTTTGTACCACATTTTATATTTTTATGTTTCTATACTTTTGCACTGTATATTTTTATTTCTCAGGTGTTTCCATCTGATCCATACACAATCCACTTTGGTATAATTATCAAAATTTACTAGTTAGGCCCACTTATCAGATGCAGAAATTAAGGCCCAGAGGGTTAAGCCATGGCCGTGACCCTTGGCGGTGAGGGCAGAGCCAGGGCTGGGAGCCAGGGCTTTGTACCCCATAGGATAAAGAGGCTGGTACCTTTCTTGGCTTGTTTTTTGGTGGTCTTGCGGCTTGTGTTGGAAACCCCTGGGATGGATTTTATTTCGCTCTTGCTGACGGGGGGTGGGTGTAGGACCAGCTTTGGTGGCCTGGTGAGACACACAGGCAGCCCCGCTGCACTCATGAGGATCCCGGTGATTCCTGAAAGGGGCAGGGGGTGGGTGAGGAAGGACTGAAGACGTGGCTCCCAACACACCCCAAATTCCTCCCTCCCCATTACCCTGTTCTCCTCCTCTCCAGGAGACAGTTCTCATAACTCATGGATTCTCTGCTCTGCCTTCTATTTTTTTGCCAGAAACTTATTCTTCAATAGCATGCTTTGCTTTTAGCAATCAGTTCTCCCCCAAATGCTTCCTGACTTTCTCATGCAATTCCCAAAATCCCTGTTCGCTTCCATTAACATCCACATTACCTCCTTTTTACAAATGCTCACTACCTGTTTTGCAACTCTGATTTCTCTATCTTAAGCGAGTGCATCACAGGGTTTCTCTTACCTGCTAAGGCAGGGTTGACAGGACTGGACCCGTTTAGGTTCTTCACTGGGACAGTGGGGACCCTGTGGAAGGAAAGAGAAGATTCCTTATGGTTTTGACAAGAGGGACAAAATGGACCATGTTGAACCCTACTAAAGATGCAGTAAGCTTTTAACACAGCAGCCAGCCAGAGGTGACATCTTCACAGCCTAAGTCAGACCATGTCACTCCTCCACTCAGAACCTCAGAGCTTGATATGAATCCTCAGTTCACTCAGAGTCAAGGTCAAAGTCCCAGCAGGGCCTACACAGCCCTGTGTGATCTGCCAACACCTCTCACCCCTCAATTCCCTTATCCTTCTGGCCTCCTCTCGTTATCACTTGACTCTTTGCTCTGCTCTTGCTGTTCCTCCTACGTGCCAGTCACACTCTTGTCTCAGAGCCTTTGCATACACTGTTCCATGTGCCTGAAATGCTGTTCCACCAGATAACTGCTTCATTCTCTCTTCTACTACCCCTCCGGTCTCAGTTCAATGCCTACCTTCTCAGTGAGGTTTCTGAGACCACCTTATTTAATACCGCTGCCCACCCCTCCACCCACCCTGGGACTCCTGATGTATTTATGATTTCTTAAAATAAATTGTTGCTTATTATCTCCCCTTCTAGAATCTAAGCACTACAAGGGCAAATATCTATGTCTGGTTTGTTCAGAACATGGCACTCATAGGCAATCAATCTGTATTTGTTGAAGAAATGAAAAAATAAAGAAGCAAGTTCAAACCTGGGTGTACAAAAGAGTCACCTACGATGCTCTTAACAAGACAGAGTTCCAGGTCTAGACAAGAATCTCCATCCGTGGAGCATGAGAATCTGCACTTTTCCAAGGCTCCCGAGAGGATGCAGATGTAGTGAATCCCCAGTCCAGCATCTGGAAGCCACTGCTGGAACAGCTGCCACTTCTCCCTCTCCCCGAGATATATACAAATATCAGGCAAAGCCACCTCCGCTTTCTGCCCTTCTCCCCAGCAACTCCAGCCAGGCTGGAGAGGAGACGGCGCAGCTGCCTGGGAAAGGCAGGCCTCCCACGGTGCTGACTCAGAAAATATGGAACACATGGGGCTGGGTCTTGCGCCATCCCCTCTGCAGCCCAGGCTCCCACAGCTGGCCTTGGAGAGGCCACTGGACCCGGTCACAGATGACTTCAGGGGCCAGACAGCCTGGGAGGCCAGCAGGTCCACTATGGGGGCAGGACGGTGCTGGGAACACAGGGGGTGGGGAAAAGAGCCTTTGTTTATATGTTCATCTGTCCATCCAAACCGTGTTTATTGAGTCCTACTTTGTGTTGGACACCATTCCCGATGCTGGGGACACAGCCGTGAACACACCGCCCATGGCCCTTCTTCATCCATGTGTTAAAATCGCTAACATGCCCAGAGCTCGCCTCCTGCCAGGAGCGGCTCCCACTGCCTACAGCATAGAATCTTGTCTCATCCTCCCAACAACCTATGCAAGAAGCATTGTCATTAGCGCCATTTTATAGACAAGGAAGCTGAGGCACAGAGAGGTTAAGCAAACTTGACCAAGACCACATGGCTAAGGATTTGAACCCAGAAAACCTGGCCCCAGAGCCCACTCCAGGCCACTCACTACGCCGAGCACTTATGTCTATGCAATCCTCGTGACATCCACACTGCAGACAGAAGACCTGATGTTCAGAGAGTGTCACAAGTAAACCCAACCCTAGGAAAGGGGACAGCTGGAATGGGACCTCCAGGCTGAGCAGTGGGGACTGTCCGTGCCCACATGCCCGTAAGGATGGTGCTTCCCCAGCTACACCAGGCTTGCTCTGGCCTCCGTCCCTTCCCACGGATGACGACCCGTGCACCAACGCTGGGAGAAGTATGTGAAAGAACAGATGTGGGAATGTTTGTGTCTCACCAGGCCACCAAATGCCACTTTTCTTCTGAAACTGTCCCCAGGATAAATCAAACCCAGATGGAGGGAGGGGAAAGCTGAACTTTAAACAAGGGCCGCTAGGCCACAGAAAGAGGAATGGACTTGATTCTGGACTCTGTGGCCTGCCCCCCAGGGCTAGGCACGCTGTGGTGGACGGGAGTCAGGGAAACTGTGTTTGAGTCCCAATGTTTCCAGTAGCTTCTCACAGTTAGTTAAATTTTCTGAGCCTTCATTTCCTCATCTGTAAAATTGTGAGGCTCTTGGGTTAGAAGATACCAGGGAGACTTGTTGATGATTTCTCACCCCAGTACCTGACAGCAAGGTGACAGCCTAAGCCCTAGGACCCCACCCATGGCGGCTTCTCCTCACCCAGCTCCTTCTGGAGAGGCTGGGGGCACAGGAAAGACCTGGCCTCCCGGGGCCTGCTTCCAGCTCCCCACCAGGGGGCAGTGCTCCTGCCTGCCCAGCCCTGCACCTGCCTTCCCCCTCACTATCTCTGAGGCCCCCACTCCAGCTGATAGGTAGCTGAGATCCGGGTGACAAAAGCCACCTTTGTTCCCAAAACTGGACTGGCAGGTTTCCACACCCAACCTGGTCAACCAGGAAATACTCCAATCCCCAGAACACCACACATCCCAGGCAGCTCGAGAACTGGGGCAAGGTCTGGAGAGAGGGAGGGGAGAGCCTGCAAGTGGGCCCCGGACATGCATGCAAACCGTGGCTCTGACAGGTGGGAGAGACGCAGTGCCACGTCAGGAAAAGGACAGCACAGCTGGTGGGCTCGTCACTGGGCTTTAGGCAGCAGGGGTCCCGGGGAGGAGGGGGATATTTGCCTATGAAATACAGAAGGGTATGATGGAAGGAGCCTGCGCCGGGGTCAGGGGATCTTCGCTGTAGCCCAGCTCGGTGCTGACTTGCTTTGCGCCTTTGGGAGGGCCACGCAGCCTCTCTGCACTTTGCTGACCACATCTGAGTTGCCACCGCAGTGCAAGGGCACCCTAAATATCTGCCCTATGGGGGTCCCTCTAAAGATTTAGGATTTAGGTCAAATACTTAGTAAATAGCTGAGTCCTATGCAAATTTGGATGATGGTGTACACTTTCATCTCCCAATTGTAAAGGGCCTTTTCCTGCTTTGATATTCCAATATTCTCAGATGCTTGAAGACATGGGTATCAAGTGTAGAGCAGTGATGGGCAGTACTTAGGGGTGCTGAGCTGGCAGCACCTGATCACACCTCCCCCACTGTTCCTGGTTACTGAAAACCTAAGAGAACAGCCCATGAAGTCCAGGCCAGTCACACCCAGTTAGGGCCCCAGCGACTATGCCTGAGCCCTCCTAGAAAACAGCAACCTGATGACAGGCTTGCCTCTCAAGTCCTCCAGGCAACGCCACTCTGTCAAAGCTGCCTGGCCCAACCACTTGTGGGCCAATCAAAACACGCCCCTCCCCTCCCTCTGCTGGGCTGTTTGCAGTTAAGGAGGGTCCAAGTTGTCGTTTTTGTTGCTAAAATATAAAACTGAGACAAGAGATGAGAGCTGGCAAGGTGGAAGGAGGTTGGTTGCGGGAGGGAGGGGATCTCTGCCGACACCATCCTGAGAAGCAGTGTTTTCTCCGGGAGTTATGAACCAACCCAGGAATCCTCCGGCAGGACAAGGGTCTCGTCTCTACGGCAACCAAGGCCTAGCTGGGGCGACGCCCACCCTCCACCGCACAGCCCCCCTCTCTCTTTAGAAACCCCCTGCTTGTGTCTCTGAATAATTCACAGGATCTTTTGTTCCCCCCCAAACCTTTCTCTCCATCCCACTTCTCCCGCCCTCCCTGGTCTTCCTTTTTCCGTGGGAAAGTTGCTGGAAGAGGTCACGGGCAAAGAGGGGAGGGAGGGAGGGGCGCTGCAACGACAGAAGGTCGATGGCAATGCCAGACAAAGGGAATCAACACGCTAATTAAATGGCCAAGAGAGGCTGGAAGAGAAGGTGGGATGGGGGTGAGGGAGGAGGTTGGAGGTGAAAAGGGAAGGCCTGGAAGATTCAGAGGGGTAGGCAGGGGCCTCCCTTGTCAGGAAAACAGAACTGAGGAAAAAAAAAAAAACACAACTTGTTTCTATAGCCCTTTTGAAACTGCACTGCCTGGACCTCCACCCATTCTCTAGCCCCGACTCTATTGGCAGGCAGAAGGAACAAAGAAGAGAGAAAAAGCCGCCTTCGACTCACTCCTCGAGATTCAAAGCCACCTGGGTGCCTCTTCCTCAATGATGGCATGAGGTCACTTGGCACTTGCCAAGGGCGCCAGAGACAAGGTGGGGTGTTGGAGCTCAGCTTTGACTTCAAGTCAACAACTGTGTAGTACATATTCATGAGTACCTGTTAACAATAATAGCAATAACAGCGGCGAAGACCGACTGAACCCTTATGTGCATGCATTGTGCTAAGTCTACCACTGACCATCTCATGTGATCCTTGTGACAACCCAAAAAGGAAGGTACTGTTACTATCCCATTTTACAGATGAGGAAACTGAAGACAGAGGAAACTTACCCCAAGTGAATCAGCAAGGAACTTGGGTTCAAGCCCCGGCAGTCCTAGGTTCTGGAGGCCATGCTCTTATCCGGCATGTGAGCCTCTCTCCTCCACACCAGCAGTCACCCCAAACTCTGCTAGAGGCCCCCAGGATGCTGCTGTGTGATGGGGTGGGTGGAGAAATTCTGCGGAGGCACAGCTTAGGTGCCCATTCCCCTCTCCCAGAAGCTTCTGCCAACTCAGGGGAGGTCATGAAAATCCCATGCATCTGACCAGCATTTTGCCATTTGTAAATCATTTTTACGTACCATGAGGAGCTGGGCTTTAGCCAAAAGAACAGCGGACCAGAGGGCGGCAACTTGGGTTTCGATCCCTACTCTGTAACACGTGAGCTGCGTGGCCCTCCTTGGGGAGTTAATTCTGAGCTGAGAGCCTGTGTCTGACCTTCCATCACAGAGTAAGGGAATGCAATAATCTAGTAAACTGCCACGGGGCAAACTCCCCTAGTGGAGGTTTTCACAGGGACTCCGAGGGGCAGGCAAGTCCACTGGGTCTTGCGCAGGTTCTGTGGCTCATCCCAGTGGCAGAGGCAGCAGTAGAGGCCTGGACTCCAGGTCTCTGGACTCCCAGCCCAGTACTCCGTCCACCCTGCGGTATACCCTCCTTCCTCTCTCCTCCCAGCTGCAAACCTCTATGTACAGAGACCCAGCTGAGTACAACGGCACTGTCTCAGGATTTTCAGACTCAGGTGCCCAACCCAAATCTAAAACCATTCTGACTGTCTGGGGTTCAGGGGCTGAAAGCAGACCCTGCTGAAGAAAGAAAAGGAAGACTGGGTGAGTGTGCGAATGATGAGCAACCAGGGGCTGCAGGCACCGCATGGACCTGGGTTGCTTCAATTGTATGATCTGCAAGATCAGGAACAATGGAAAAAGCAATACTAATAGGACCTACAACATCACCAGGTTGTCATAGGAATAACAGACAATCAGTACATGGAAAGCACCCAGCACATGGTAAGTAGTCACTAAAGATGGGCTGCTAATTCCATCTGGAGTCGCCCCTCCAGCTTCCAGAGAGACCAGAGGAAAGGGACTAACCCTCATTTGGCACCTACTCTGTGCCCTGCACTGTGGCACGTGCTTGGTGGGGGAGGAGCACAGCAGGGTCAGAATCGGGGCTCTAGCATCAGCCTTCCTCAAGTCTGAATCCTAGTCGATGCCAATGGTTAGCTATGTGCCCTTGCAAGGGAACCTTTATTCTCTTCATCTGGAAAATGGGACAGTGCATATTTCATAGTTGTTGCAAGGATTAAATGAGGTGATAAAGCCCCCAAACTACAACACAGTGGGAGCTCAATTAATGTTGCCTATTATTACTCACTATGCACAATCTTCTCTAAACCTCACGGCAACCCTAACATGAGAATTATTGCCAGCATTTGCAGAGGAGGAAGTTGGGACTCTATAATGTCAGGGATCTAGCCCCAAATCACATGGCTAGTAAGAGGCAAAGTCTCAATCAGAATCCAGATCGCTGGGACCCCAAGTCAAACCCTCCCTCATCCACCACACACGGTGCTGCCTGCACCTGCACCAAGGGGCCAACACAAGATAAGGAGGGGCTTAAGTCTTGGCAGCCCCTCCTTCCACTGACCAGAAGATCAGTTTTAGCCTCTCTCTGCAATGAGTAAATGCTCCGAGGCAGCCACGGAGGCACCTACCCAGAGGCGATCAGCACCCGGGACTGGGCGATGGCCAGTCGCTGCAGGTTGGTACGATTCAGGGTGGCCAGGGCGACCCTTCCCGTCTTGCCGTTAGCTCCTGGGGGGCTGGCAGGAGAGCCCGCAGTTGCCCCAGCCGGCATGCTGGAGGTCTGTCGCCGGATCACCTGTGATGGGGCTGCCCTCACTGGGCCTCGAATGGTGCCTGTGCTGTCCAGGGGCTTGGCCCCGGGGCCTGGTGGGGGAGGCAGCTTGACCACTCCGGAGGGGGGCACGCTCTTGCGTGTCGCTGGGGGCTGCAGGGGCCCAGAGCTGCCATTGACCACAGCCGCCTTAACACTCATCACCAAGACGCACTGTGGACAGGAGCAGGGTGGCGCAGGGGGCGAGGTGGCCGACCCGGGGCTGACTGGCCAGGACTGAGCCTTAGGCAAGGTGCCCGTGACCATGGGGTAGATGAGGTCGAGGCGCCGGCGGACGCGGCGCTGGCGCTGGGTCTGCCGGTTGATCTGGCCCATGGTGCTGAAGTCAATGACGTAGCTGAAGCCGATGGAGGTGAGGTCGATCCAGGGGTGCTGCTTCTCATAGGCGTGCTGGATGGTGATGCCCACCTCCATGTCGTAGGGCGTCCAAGAGCCATTGTCGTTCTCCCACTCCCACACAACGCCCTTCCCGGGGGCCGAGGACGGGTCGTAGTAGTTGCGGCGAACTGGGCGCAGGGTCCCTGCCAGAGTGGGACGGAGGAGAGGTCAGGTCAGCATGAATTATGCTGAATGGCATTACATTAACAGGTAGACACATGACAAGTCCTACTGTGTGGCGGGCACCACACTGCCTGTTGAGGTGTCGGCTCTGAAAGTGACGCCTCCCTGCCTTCAAGACGTCTGCAGTCCAACCAGGCTGGAAGCAGGCGAGTTACAACATGAAGGACCTGGGAGGCAGCGTGGGGCAGCAGAAAGAGTGCCTCCCGGTTTGGAGCCGGAACACCTTGGTTTGCCAGCAAATTCACTCACTTACTAGCTGACATAGAACCTCTCAGCCTCCTTTTCTCCCTTGGGAAACAGGATAATAACGACTTTCCAGGGTTTCTGTAAAAATTAAATGTGCCTCACTTAATCATTCAACAAACATGCGCTGGTACGTGCCGGGTACTGGATTTCACGTGCACCCTAAACATTGCACTGGGGCATATACAGCCCTTAACACATACAGCACGTGCTCACGAAGACCATGTTCCTTCTCCGCTGTCTCTCTAAATGCCTCTGCACCAACGGCTGTGGAGGAAAAGAACACAAGGCCGTGGAAGCCCGGAAGACAGAGGGAAGACTGTCTCCACCTGGGGAGGCTGCCCAGAGACAGTGGTGATGGAGCTGGCTCTGTACATTTATGGGTATGGTGCAAAAAGAAAAAAAATGGTGTGTTACTGTGAGAAGAAGGGAAATCCGGTTGGGAGAACTCTCTCATATTTCCCAACATTAAATCTTATATCAACAAAAATAATATTTTCAGTGGTCATGAGAATAACTTTAAAGTTATCTAACATCTTTCTTTCAAGAAGCTCAAACTCTCCGAAAGATAGGAACATCTTAATTTTGACAGTCTCACTGCAGGGGCAGGGAAGAGGCTAAGGTTATTTACAGGGGTTAACGGTACCGTAGAATTGAACCGGCAAGACTACAAGGGAGCTAAGTCTGTAACTGTTGCCGCCTCTTCCCAAACCTGAACCAGACCCATCCTCAGCCGGGGCTCATTTCATGTCACCAGCACCAAGGCTAAAGATGCCTGGCTCAAGGCAGGGTGGGGAGGGCTCCAAGGATGCTGGAATCTCTGCATCTGTCGGCTTAAGAGCTATCCATCAAAGTGGTGGGAAAAGGCTCCCCTTCCCCGGCCTCTGACCCACCCCCTCCCCCAAGCCAGAGGGAGACACCAAGACCGGGGACAGAATCCCATTCAAGGGGGGAAGAAAAGGAACAATGGCTATTCAGGCCTTTGCCAGGGTCATAACCCGCCCCCCACCCCATCTCCAAGCCCCTTAATGACCCAAAACATCAACATTCAGAGGCACCAGGGAGAAGCAGAACAATCCCCTATTCATCGCCAGGGCCTCTGCTGGGGGACATGGGGGTATCAGGATGGGAGGGTGGCGGCAATAGTTCCCGGGTTTGCCTCTATTTCCTTCCTAAGCAGCCAGCTTGCTGGGGAACAAAGAGTGCGGCTTTGGGTCCGACAGGGGTGGTTCTGTCCCTTCCAGCTGTGTGATTAAGCCTCAGTTTCCTCGTCTGTTTGGGTCCCGGGTGGCTACTTCAAAGGGTGGATTTAAGGATTAAATGAAGAAATGAATATAAAACTCTAAAATAGCACCTGTCACCATGGCAAGAGCTCAATAAAAGTTGCTGATTATTATTGTAATTTATTTTCTATTACATCTAAGCAGGATGAAAAAATCACGGGGAAAGTTTAGTTCAGGGGAGGTAGACATTGTGTGTGTGAGAGAGAGAGAGGGAGAGAGAGAAAGTTTCTATATAACTCATATTTGCACAATGTTTATTACTTACAAAGCACCTCACATATCCCACATAACCACATAATCTTCCGGGCAACACTATGAAATACCTTTTACAGAGGAGGAAATTAAGTTTAGAGAATTTAAATGGCATTATTTTATATTCTTTCCAGGGTAGCAGGGACAATGCACTTAACCAATTCTCACAAATGTGCCTAAAGGGCATTTTTTTTAATAATAGTGTTATCAATCCTGTAGATGCCTGAGAGTAGTCCCAGAACTTCTGGAAACTATGCCATGGCTCTGTAACATACCTTTCCAGGTTTATCTTTCTCTATCCCCCCATTTTCCTGCCAAACAGAGGCCCCTCTTATCCACAGGCGTTCCCTCCGAGTTCCCTAAGCCCCTCCCCAACAATTCTCCAGGTCTCTTCTACCGAAATGTCCTCCTTTGCCATTTCTACCTGTCGAAATTATCCTTATCATTCAGGTCCTATGCCATTCACCATCCATTTCCTGAAATGTTCTTTCAGCCCAGGTCCCACCCTCAGGAACCTGAAGTGCATCTCTTGACCGAGGCTGATGGGCACCAGTGTTTTGGCACTTTTCATCCTGGGGTGCCTTAAGTGGGGGCAGGGATACCACCGTGGAGGTCTTCGCATTCTAGTGCCTAATGCAGTGCCTGGCAGCTACAAGGGCTCCATAAATGGTGCTGTGATTGATTGAAGACTTCTGGCTACTTTGATATTTCATCATTTACCACACATCACTGAGCACCCATTAGCTGCTATGAGGAATGCAAAGATTCAAGCATTCCTCAAGTAGCTTTGCAGTCTAAAACAGGGTTAGAAGACAACTGTGCGAATGACTATTTATGAGGCAGAATATGTCACAAGCAAGATGCCAACAGAATACATGTTGGCAGGAGATCTGACCACATCCCCTCCCTGCTGAAATCCCTTCCATGACTTCCCCTTAGGTTGGGACCGGCATCCCCTCCACCTGCCAACCTCTGTGGGTCCTCACTGCTAACGCACTCTGCCCAGATTTGGCCACACTGGCCTTCAGCTTCTCCCAGTTGCCAGGTTTCTCTGATTCTAGGCCTCTTCACAATGCCGGTTCCTTCCCCAAAACACTGCGGCATCCTCTTTGCTGCTTATTCACAGATTAAAGCTCATTTCCTCAAGGAAGCCTCTCTGGGTTGCCCTGACCAGGTCAAATTCCTGTTCCCATTTTTTTTTTTCATAGCACTCATCTCAATGTGCAGTTACACATTTATTGGTGAGGCTAATTTGATGACTATCTGTCTTTCTCATGAGATTCCCAGTCCCACGAGAGCGGGCATCGAGGGGTTTACTCACGGCTGTATCCCCGTGCCTGGCATGCCTAAGGGCCCAATAAATATTGATTGAATAAACGAAGCAGTAACAGTTTGGAGAGCATTTCAAGGTTTAGAGAACATTTCAAGAAACAGATGACAGATGGCATAGAATCTGAATAATAAGGAGACTTTCAATAGGCAAAACGGCAAAGAAGGGGCCTTATGGATAGTTGGGGGCGTCAGAGAACTCTGAAGGAATGTACAAGGGTACAAGTGGCCTCCGACTGGCTAAGGCAGAGAGGAACATAAGCCTGGAAAATATGTTATGCCCTGCGTGTTCTGGAATGCCAAGCTGTGACAGATTTAATTTGTAGGCAATGAGGAGCCAGTGGAGTTTGTTAAGCAAAGAGCGACGAGACCAGAGCTGCTCTGTTAATTAGTTCCAGGTGAGTGGAAGGGTGTTGGCAGGAAAATGAAAAGGTGACAGAATGGAGGAACTCTACAGAGAAAAAATGGGTAGGACTTGACCATGAGTAGCTGAATGCTTTCCAAATGAGGTTCTCAGACCACCTCCTTCAGAATCTCCTGGGGTGTGGAGCAGCAATGCCCTCAAGAAACAAGTGGGTACATCTCCAGGGCTTGGGCCTGGGGACCTGCACGTGAATGACCACCCTGAGTTTTCATCATGCACGCTCAAGTTTCAACTGTTGGGCCTCATGGCCTACATGCTGTACATATAACACACCTAAGTAAGACTCTGAATGGCAGAACGAATCAAAGAATCCTGAGGCTTTAGCCATGGGAAAGTGGTAAAATGGTGTCACCATGAACAGGCAGAGAGATGTCAAGAGGAAGAGCTAGTTTTTGGAGGGAAAGTTGTTGAGTTCAGTTCAGCCCTAGAGGGGAGTTAGAGACGGTAAGCAGACTTCAGAATCAGAGTCTTGAGAGAAGAGAGGTGGTGGGATTTCATTCTCTGATTATTTTCAGAAGCTACCCTATTTGGAATGTGCTAGTCCTAGGCTTTTCCAGAATCAGGTCCATAAACTAGATAATCTGCACGGTCATCCAAAAAAAAAAAAAAAAAGCCTCTAGTAGGAGTAGGATAGGGGATAGAAGATGTTCATAAACTAAAGAGGAAGAAAGAGAAAGAAAATCAACTTTTCCCAGCAACTCAGACGCTGCATCCCAAAGCACCCAAAATGTTTTGGCTCCTGGGAAATGGCAGGCAATGCCTTCCAGGCATGACCTGAGGTCTCTAGGGCATGCCACCCACATCTGTGTGGGTAAGTCCCTGCTGTAAGAGCATGTACTGTGTCCAAGACATCCCAGCATCCCCCATCCACACCAGAAAGTTCCCCGAGGACAAAGACTTGGATGTCCTATTATTGCTATATCCCACATGCCTGGTACAGTGCCTGCACTAAGTAGTTGCCCCATAGCTGTTCACTGATTGAAAAAGTAAGGACACAGGGCACTTGATTTGGAATCTCAGCTCTGCCATCGATTAGCTGTAAATCCTTGAGCAACTTAATCTCTTTCAAATTGTTTTCTTATAAAATGGGGGTAACAATAGTTCTTCAGAAGAAGGTTGGGAGGATTAAACAAGATAGCGTATGCAACGTGCTTGGCATGATGCAGACACATGGCACATCCTGCATACTACAACTATCATGTGGTCATCATGATGTCTGTGTCCTCCACTCCTGTGCTTACACAGGGTAGTGGGTGTTGGGGGGGGGTGTTGCTAAAAATTAGCTTCTGTCAAATCATCTAATTAAATCCCCCCTCTCTCTCTCCATCTGACACTTCTCACTGCATTAAAAGACATAAAGGAGGCAAAACTTGCACAGAAAACTCCGAGCTGGAAAGAACTCTCCCCACACCTAGATGCTTCCTATCTTGCATCATCATGGGTGCAGAGGTCTAACCCGTTCTCCTGCCAATCTGCATATGGGAGGAAAGAAAGAAGGAAAGAAGGAATCTTAAGGCTGCTCTTCATCCTACAGAGGAAAATGAGGTCTGAGCAGTTAAAGGACTTGCTCAAGGTCACATAGTAAGCAATGAGTCTAGGATAAGAGCCTGAGTCATGTCTCCCCACTCCCAACGCCAGTTTTCCCCATCCTGCTCCTGGGGCCCTGGAGGTGGTGGAGATCAGGCGTGTTGGAAGATACAGGAGAAAGTCATGCTGAATAAAGCTCTCCAGTCACTGACCTATGACAGAAAAGGGGCAGCCCAGTCAAGGTAAATGACAGCAGGTAGACAGGACCCACCAAGACTTTTGGAAGTAGACAAGACCCAGTCCCTCTGTCTCACCCCATCTTTTCCCTTCTTCTAGATTCTCTACGCCAAAGGCCTAGAGGGGACCAGCACAGAATGCAAATGACTCAAACCCCTAGGCGGTCTGTAGAAGGAGAAGGGCCCAGGACAAACAGAGGCGGCAGATGGGTGTCTGCCACCTCCCAAGCCATCTCCCTGGAGACAGGCTGGATGAGGGCAAGAGCCCAGGAGAGTGGAGAGACTGAGGACTTACTCAGCAGCAGAGCAGGCAACTTCTGAAAAGACAAAGCTCCCATGTCAGGAAATGTCCCCATACAGAGGAGGCAACAAAAAAGAGAGGAATCGCCTCTGGGCAGGGGACTTCCAGCTCACTTTTGTTTATGGGGATGTTTCTGGTTCCCAGCTTTAAACTGTGGCTTGAGGATGGTGGATAATTTAATTAAACATTGCAGGGGCTTGGCTGAGGTTGCCTGGGAGCCACTGGTTTAAAGTTCCTACCCTGTCATGGCCTCATCAATGGGCTATATTGAGAGGAACTGTGTGTGTGTTGGTGGAGAAAGGAGAGGAGGGGGCTCAGAGCCCAGAAACCCGGAGATTCTATTCTACTTTGACAAGCGCTCTGACAAACCCAGGTTCCTGGGAATTTAGCCCAGTGCCTTCCACATCCAGCACAGGGCCTGGCACGGAGGGGAGAGGTGCTCAGCAGTGAGTGGATGAAACCAAAGCTGTCTCAATGCAAAACACTCCCTGAGGCAGTCTTTAAAATGATCCAGGGCTAGTTCTCTGCCTCTGGTCTAGCATCCAAGGAGCCTCATCTTCTGGCTAAACTGAGGCCAGGAGGCCATAGTCAACCAGTCCTCGGGTAGGAGTAATCAGACCTGGGGGAGCAGCTTCTGTCTTTCCGCCTGGTTTACCCTTCACTTCTATTAAAAGGGTCCTTCAGGTCAGGACTGCTCCTAGACACCCCGCCCATTCTAGGCGCCCCCAAACACAAATTCGACCTTTGCCCTTCCCAAATGTGGGGGAGGAGCCGAGACATTTATATCACTAGGGTGGTTCTCCATATGCTGCAGAGATTTGATCTGAAAAAGAAAAGCTAACACCTGCTATTTTTATTTTGAGCAGGACTGGAATTCCCTGTCAGGTGCCTTAACTGCTGGTCTTTGTGGTCCCACCCATGGCTCAGCTTCACCTAACACACAGACACCCTCCCCTCCCCCAGCTTGACACCTCCACCCTCACCTCCACCACCTCCACCCAAGTTGCGCAATTACATTCTCTTAATCCTCTTTCTCAATCTCCCCACATTTCTCTCTATTCTCCTCCTCCCAGTCTCTCTCAGCTCCGCTTCCCTCCCTTCCCCACCAAGGGTTAAGCCCCTTCGGATTCTAACACTTCTGGAATCCTTTCCCCAGAAAGCTTTACTCGCTGGGCCAGTGTCTGCAGAGTCCTTGGCAGAGAGGTTGTTGGGAGTTGTGACTAAAGATGGGGACATGCGGGAGGAAGGATACCCCTTTCCCATGACAATCCTAATTAGCACACAGGATGTGGGGGCTTTCCAAGGAAGCTGAGACACCCAGCCCAAACAGCTGTTCTCTGAGCCTGGGCCTGCTCTATTCCCTCCCCACCACACCTGCCTCTGCAGGCTCCTTCCTTAACACTCTTGGGAAAGCCTAGCTAGAATTCCAGAAACAATGGCCCCTCCCCACCCCTGCCACTGAAGAGATTACTGGAAAGACAGAGACTTGTCCCGGGCCATCAGTTAGGCATGGACACACTGGACCAAGCAAAGAGGTGCAGCTCTGTCCTCCTCCTCCTCCTCCCTCGGACAACCCCCCCACCCCACCCCCAGGCTCCCTTCTAGGCTCTGACCTGGAAAGGCTGGTCAGCTGAGAAGCCGGGTTGTGGTGGCCATAGTGGCAACTTGATTCTCATGAAGAGATAGGAGTTTAGCGCTCTCATAGGCTACGGTTTCAGGAGGAAGCTTGGGGACAGTTTCTCCTTAGGAATCTGCCTCCTGCTCCGCGGACAAAGAGAGCGGCTTCCCTGCCAGACATTCCGGAGCCCCGACCCTCCCCCTCCTCTCTCCATCTGCTCGGCCTGTTGCTCAGCACTTGGAGTGCACAGCAGCGGCATCCCCAGAGCCACAGCATCCAGGGCGTCCCATCCCCTGGAATCCCTCAACTCCAGTCTCTCCTCCCAGGGACGCCCCGGCGATTCCTTCACCCGAGTATGGCTGGAGCCTCCGGGGAATCCCTTCTTCCCTTGCCGGTTCCCACACTCAGGACCCGCTGCGGGAAGGCATCCCACACGGGAGGTGCAGAGGCACTAAGGTCGGGGTGAGGGAGGTATGTGGCAGGCCCAAGGCAGAGCAGGATCAGCCCGGGTGTGAGCAGCCGCCGGGCGAGGGCAGGGAGCTTTGGAGAGGCTGGGATTGCTTGTGGGCTGGGGCGGCAATAGAACGTCTACATGGAAGGACTTAGGGCCACCAAGCGCTGAAAAGGAGGCGTGAAATGGGGAGGGGGCTCTCACCGACCAGACCGAGGCTGGGTTTGCACAACCAGAACACTGATACTACTTGCATGGACGTTTGGGTGGGGGAATCCTAGGAGGATGAAAGGGAGTAAAGCGCCGCCCACCACCCCCTCTTGGGGACTCCCCTGCACGGAGGTGCCCACGGGGGGGGCCAAGGTGGGCTCAGGAGGCGGGAGATCCCGTGGCGGCCCGGGGAGGTGGGCGCGGGCGGGGCAGGGGCAGCCGGCTCACCCGTGTCTTGGCGGAACTGGTTCATGGACTGCAGGTCGATGATGTAGGGCGCGAGACGGCTGTCCACCTGGCCCAGCACCACGCTGCCCCCCGCGCGGGGGCCGGCGCGGACCACCGCCTCGATGTGGTGGCTCACGGCCGGACTGTAGGGACGCCAGCGGCCGTGCTCGTTCAGCCATTCCCAGACCACCACGGCCGAGGCCAGGAGCATGGCGAGCCCGGGGCTGCGGCGCTGCGCCGCCGGCCTCCCGGGCCCCGAGCGCCCGACCTCCTCCGCTTCCTCCTGCGCCGCCGCCTCCGGGCCTCGACCGCGCCCCCCGCCCCGCGCCCCGCCGCCCCGGGCAGCCTCAGCTCCGGCCCATGGGCTCCTCCCCAGCCGCGCATCCACCGGGGCCCGGGGCCCGGGGCCGCCTGGGTCCGACCGCGCGCCGCCGCCGCCGCCGGGGTCCGCCGCTGCTGCCGCTGCTCCGTGGGGTCGAGTCGCTTCATGCAAATGCCCAGCTCTCTGCAAACAGGCCCCCGCCTTGCAAAAGCCACCCGGCGGCCGCGCACTGGGGCTGGCGGCGAGGCGAGGACCCAGCCCTCGCACCAGTTGCGCCTCGGGCTCTGCAGACGCCGGGGTGGGATCTCGCCGCACGATCGCGCCCGGAATGGCACGCTCGCTTCTCCTCCCCTCTCCCCTCCCTCCCCACCCTTTCGCCGCACGAAGTGCAGTCGCCGCCACGGGGACAGCTCCCCCTCCCTGTGGCTCTGCTCAGTCGCTTCCAGAAGGAATTGCCCCTCCCAAGCGGGGCGCTAAGGCAAACCCGCGTCCACGGGGGTTTCCCCGGTTCCTTGCTGCGGAGGAGCGACCCTCCATGACGCGGCCCCGGGACCGCCGCTGTCGCCCGGCCGCAACTTTGCAGCCTCCTTTCCAGAATGTAATTTTCTTTTTTTTTAATGCAGCATGATCGGTGTCCGCAGCGCGAGCTCGAAACACGCAGTGTCTCAGGGCCTGCGCACGCACTCGAACACTCACACTCGCACACACACGCGCGCACACCCTCACGCCCTCCTAGCTTGCGCTCGTATTACCTCATTCTCGCCAGCAACCTTAGCTGTCCGTCAAGGATGCAGAAGCCACGCCCCCTGGCTGCTCGGGATGGTGCCCCGGAGCTTGAGCGCCCCCTGCTGGCCAAAAGTGTCGCGTGCTGGCCAGGGGCCACACACAGCTCAGCTTCAACCTCTGCTAAGGAGACCCAGTCCAAAGGGATGTAGCAATTTGGCGAATGATAGATTTATATTATCTATGTAAAGAGCAAATATGGTACTCTGGCCTGATTCGACATTACTAGAGTCAAGAAGATACATACTAAATTGATTTATTCTACATCATTTCTATGACCCAAATTATGAGACACCAGGACAAACACAAGCGAGACTTGATTATTTGGTCATCAATAGTTAATGTGGAAAATAACTTAAAATGGGTGAGATCTGACTAAAAGGGAAGTATGTAATCAGACTTATGCATTAATCTTGTCAGAGAACACAAAATTTGTTTCTCTGAGGTTGCATCCACATAAAACAATGAATTCATTCCTATCAAGATCCAAGATAGGATATGGAAAAATAAAAAATAGATTATGTTAGCGAGTAGGATTGTGAATCTTTTTGAAATAATTATTTTTTTCATAAATCATACTATCTTTTTTATGTTTTAAAAGATTTTCTTCCCCCTCTCTCTCCTTATGTTTGTCTTTTCTCTCATCATTAGAATTTTCCAACTCTCTATCTTGTCCTCCCTCCCAACAGAGTTCTAAATAAGAACCAAAGAAAAAGCATCAGCTGTCTCTTCTTCAGGTCTCTAAAAGCCCCAGCTCAAGGGACCTCTGAGCTTTGTTCTTTCTGGTCTCCTTGCACAGTTTAACTTCTAAAATCTCTAGTCAGCCTCTTCCTTAATTGGGGGGCTACTCTCAACCCAACTGGATCAACTCCATTCATTAAAACATCAAATTTCAGAGTACTAAGTACAAAAAGAGAAGGAGTTAAGCACTTCAATTAATCCTACCAAGGCCCATTATTATTCCTATTTCACAAATTACAAGACTTTGGGAATTTAAACAACTTACCCCCAGGTTACATATCTTGTCAGAGGGGAAACCAGTATTCAAAACTTATTTGGGCTGGCTCAAAAAGAAAGATGCCTGTTACATAATATGTGTTATATGACATGGAGGTGGTGCAGTAGGAGGCAGGTAAAAATGTCTCAAAGGGAAAGAAGGGAAGAGAAAAGATGAGGATAGAATGTTCTGAAAGAGAAAAGTAGTATGGAAGAAAAGATAATTTTAAATTTTATTGAGCTACTTTTACTTGCAATCATGAGACTAAGAGTATGAAGACTCAGGAAACTTTATTGTGTTCTAGATAGACATGGATCCAAAAGTGAACAGTGATGATTCAAGGGGATGCTGAAAGTACCAGGGATAAAACAGTACCTGACCAGCTAATCCAGGAATTACCAGGTAGAAAAAGCCTAAACCAGGTAAGAAGGCTATTAACAAATGCCAGGCCAGCTGTTTGAAAGATAAACAGAAAGCAGGAAGAAACTACCTATGTCCAGACTGATTTTGTATCGAGTCTTCTTGTATCTGCCATGTTAAACTTGACAAAGTGTTACAGCAGAATAAAAATGTCTGATGACACATGAGAGGGTTTATATACAGCCTGATTCATTTGCAAGAGGAAGTGAACACACACACACACACACACACACACAGGATCTTCAAAAAGTCATGGAAAATACACATTATGAAAAAACTATGCATGTATATAAAAATTTTTTTGTACCGAAACAAATTCATACTAACTTGTTATAACATGTCTGAATAGGATCTAGTTAGAGGCAGTAAGAAGGATAAGATATCAGTTTGAAAAGAGCCCCTATCAGAGAAACATGAATTCTGCTACAATAGGAGCAAAAACAAACAATAAATTTATAGTGAAGCTTGACAGGAAGAATGATGAAATTATTGGTATTTTACAAAAAGCATCATGAAGACAATGCCTCAAAGAAATCAACAGTCTGCAAATAGATAAGATATTTTAAGAAGGTAAGAGACAATGTTGAAGATGAAGCCTATGCCTCAGCAGCAGGCCATCCACAGTAGTTTGCAAGGAAAAAATTCATCTTGTTCGTGCCCTAATTGAGGAAGACCAACAATTAACAGCACAAACATTAGCCAACACTACAGACATCTCAACTCGTTCAACGTAACACAATTCTGACTGAAAAATTAAAGTTGAGCAAACTTTCCACTTAATGGACACCAACATTACTGCACTCAGATCAGCTGCAGACAAGAGCAGAGCTTTCGATGGAAATGTTAAAATAAGTGGGATCAAGATCCTGAAGCACTTCTTCAAAGAATTGCAACAGGAGATGAAACATGGATTTACCAGTATGGTCCTGAAGACAAAGCACAATCAAAGCAATGGCTACCGAGAAGTGGAAGGGCCCAGTCAAAGCAAAAGCAGACCAGTCAAGAGCAAAGTCATGGCCACAGTTTTTTGGATGTTCAAGGCATTTTTCTTGTTAACTTTCTGGAGGGCCAAAGAATGATAGTGTTTTGAGAAAGTTAGTCAAAGCTTTGGCAGAGAAACACCAGGGAAAGCTTCACCAGAGAATCCTTGTCCACCATGACAATGTTTCTCCTTATTCATCTTATCAAACAAGGGCAATTTGGTAAGAGTTTTGATGGGAAATTATTAAGCATCCACCTCACAGTCCTGATTTGGCTCCTGACTTATTTTTTGTTTGTTTCTTTCTTAATCTTAAAGAAAAATCTTTAAACAGCCCCTATTTTTGTATAGTTAATAAAGTAAAAAAGACTGCATTGACATGACTAAATTCCCAGGACCCTCAGTTCTTTAGGGATGGACTAAATGGCTGGTATCATTTCTTTCAAAATTTTCTTGAACTTGATGGTGCTTATGTTGAGAAATAAAGTTTATATTTTTAATTTTTATCTTTTAATTCAATTTTTCCACATTTTGAAGTGTTCTCTGTCTCTCTCTATGTATATAGATATATATGACTAGACATTAGTGATCAATTATAGTTGTAAAATATATGTATTTTAATAAGCCATGATAATTTATAGTTCATAGCAACCCAATTGGAAACAATAATTTATAATCATATATCAATAATAATTATATATGCATATACATTTCTTAGATTTTCCAAGACAATCCTATTTCAAATAACCTGTACCATAAACTCCTGAAAAATCAGACATTTCATTTTAGTATTCAAACTATGTCTCCCAAATTATGTCCTTTACCCATAAGTGGCATAAAAATCTTTAAAATAATGACATACCCAATTTGTAATTTGGACATTGGTTGTTATAATAAAATCTCATTAATTGAGACTCGTTGGAATGAAGACAGCCATGAACTTTTCAAAGATACAATTTGATGATAATTCAAGAAATGTCATCATTGCTAATGTCATCATTGCTTAGTTCTGCTAAGTGGTATTCCATGGTGTCGATGTACCACCATTTGTGTTACTGTTCACCCATTGATGGACACAGGAGTTGCTTCTAGTTTAAGCTGTTATGAATAAAGCTGCTATGAACATTCTTATCCAGGTTTCTGTGTAGTTGCATGTTTAGTTTTCTTAACAAACTGCCAGTTTTCTAGAGTGGCTTTTACATTTTCACCATCAATATACTCATGGTTTGGTCTCAACATCCTCACCATCATTTGATACTGTCAGTATATTTAATTTTAGCCATTTTGGTAGGTGCATAGTGATATCTCATTGTGCTTTTAATGTGTGTTTCCTTAATGAATGGTGTATTCGCCTTATTATACTTTTGATGTCTACAAGGTCTGTTGTGATATCCTTGCTTCATTCTTGATATTGATGTTGGTAATTTGTTTTTCTCTATCTTCCTCCATTCCTTCCCCTCTTCCCTCTTTGACAGTCTTGCTAGAGATTTGTCAATTTTATTGATTTTTGCAAAGAATCGATCTTTGTTTATTTCTGCTTTTATCTTTACTATTTCCTTCATGAGCTACCTATTTTGCTCATCTTTTTTCTAGATTATTATGGTAAAAATTTAGATTATTGATTTGATACTTTTCCTTTTTTCTAATGTAAGCATTTAGTGCTACACATTCTCCTCTCAATACTGCTTTAGTTGTGTCCTATAAATTTAGATATGTTTTATTATC